ACTCTGATCATCAGTTTCACAACCCAGACGACATTATACGATTTCTACAAGAACTAGCCAAGAAAGTACAAGAATGGAAGAGAACCCCAATAGCTGACATCAGACAGGAACTTGACATTCCACAATATGTAGATGTTGATTCTACAGCAGCAGCTAGTCTAACGCTCGGTTACATATTATCCACGAGGAATATTGTGTTGAAACAAGTTAAAATAGAGAAATTGTGTAAAACTATTCCTGAGATCCATAACATTACTATATTAGAGAACAGAAGTGTAGTAACTGCTCACGATGCAGCTGGTATTAACATTCATGACCCCACCAGTTATGTTATCAAGCATCATATCGATATGGTATGTATAAGACTTACATCAATAGGCAATCAAATAATATGTGTAGAATATAAATCTGATACCATTAGCATTCTGAGTGATGAGGGTGAGCGTATAGGATCAGTAGATTGTGTGAAGTCAGCAGTGTATTGTGTAGCAGCAGGGCAAGGAGGAGAATTGGCAGTAATACATGGAGGCAGTGAAACACATGACAAATTATCATTCATTAACATTAAAGAGAATAGAATAATATCAACATGTGATGTAAAAAATGATGGAAATGTACCTTGGATGACAATCACCTCCAATAATGAAGCAATCATTTCATACTCCAAAGATAACATCATCAGGTGTTATAATCCTCAGGGTGAGGAACTATTTACATATGATCCGAATACTCAGAGAGGACATAAGCTTGAAGCAAGAGGAGTGTGCAGTGATGTATTTGGAAATGTGATAGTAGCTAGTGCCAACACCGACTCAGTTCATCTGCTCAGTTCCACTTTGAATTGCCGTCAATTGCTCATAACAGAACATGAAGACATCGATAGGCCTTATGATGTTGCAATAGACAATGAGGGGAATTTAATTGTAGGATGCTTTTGGTCTGGTGAGATTTACCGTGTAAAATATCTAGAATGAGGTGACTAAAGATGTAAGAGTGGATGATTAACAGGAACGTATACACTGCGGTAGTGCGTATTTTGATCCATTAAATTTGATTTTTCAATTACGTGCTAGTATCTGATTAAAATCTATGCACACGTGATTATTTTCATTGAACAAAATCAGTTAAAAAGTATCATTTCTAGTTCAGACAACCTCTTTTCCATTCTACAAATAGATGAGCAATTATTAAGTTTACAAAAATCCGTTTGTATCTCAATTAACAAATAACCCTCTTAATAATCAGATTATGCGTTTCCGTACAAGTAATATTCTTTTTTTATTCATCTCAACTTCATTCATGCGTTATAGTTAATTTATAAATAAAATAGAATCATGATGTTTACACATTGAGATGTCGCCATGCATGTGCGTTTTATCAAAGCATTTCTGTTTTTTGAAATAATTAATGTAAATGTACTTCTCATTTATTCTCATTGGAATTTTCAAATATCAGAATTGAAGAAGCGGTTTAGCGTTGCCTCATATATTGGTAATCTAGGATTTATTTGTACTTATGCCCTATTAATTGAAATGTTGATTTCATAAGCTATTCCACTTTTATCATCGCTTCCCGTAAATCGAAAAAGGAGGTAAGAGTCAAGCAGCAACTTTCTGTAAGAAAATACAACAAATCTAAAAGATGCGGGTTTTCAAGATAATAAATCGCTAAGTGACAAAATCTATGAATTATGTACGTTGGTCAAAGATGGCGTAGTCCTAATCGAGACATGAGCATGTTAAATTATTTGTAACAATTACTTTGGCTCATGTGAATAAAGAATAAATATACTATTTTTCTCATTTTTATGTCGCCCATTATGTACGTTTTATTTTAAGACGTTTTTATAAAATGTTCCACCTTATCATTCATACAGTTGCTCGTTCTGAACTCACCGCGGACTTGTCGAAAGGTTCGATTCTATCGCCTTTGTAGGATCGTCAGATAACACAATTCACTCATTATTATGTCTGGATATTTAAGTTTAACCACGATCGTTACATTACTGAAAAATACACCTACTTCCTTAAAGTTTGACAAACGGAAGTCTTCACTTGAATCACTTATCAGACATTCTTTCTACTTAGCGATTAAAACTCATCAAAATTGTTATAAATGTTCCAAGTACCAAATTAATTTCTGCAAGACACAAACTTGTAAACATATTTTACCTATAAACGAAGGTACCCGTTCAATTCAGAAAAGTTGATATTAACACTTTCGACTTCATTTTTCCCTCTTCCCACAACCCAATTGCTAATTGAAAGGGAAACTGCTTTCCTGGACGCAAATGACATGACGCACAAATAAAGGTCGGTTCGCCTCGTGGAAATCATCTGATTTACGCAACTGTACATTTATGTTGAGTGACAATCCATAACACAGACTGACACAAACAGAAGTGAAAACTTGACATTTGCAAACTGCTTCCAAGAAAATATATTCTTTTTGTCATTTTATATATTTTAAATAACATTGTGTAAACCATTTTGCAATGTGTGAAAAGAATTTGAGCCCAAGACTTGATGCATTGTGGCTGATTCGTTCCATTTAGGGATTGTTTCTTAAACTTAACATTCGATGCTACGTATCTCGTGCAAAGTTTGAAACAACACCTCTGAAAAATGATCAGTCCACAATGCACTGAGTTTACTTGTATATGTTAAGGCATGCTTAATGTAAAGAGGGTGAGGGGTGAAAAGGTAGAATTGAACTTATTTGTGTTCTAATATATGCAGGCATACAGGGTGCGTCAAAATGGGAAACTCGTAAATATTATATTTTAAAAATATATGAACAAAAAATCATATCGTGTAAATTGAGTTTAGGGTTTTTAGATTCGCGGATGTAAAGAGGTGACAACAATCAAATTTTTCTGAATTAATAGAAGCATTTTGTTAAATGAACTGGTCACTCATCGTTCAGGTATAGTATAAACATACCAAAAACGCTACGTTCTAAATAATGTTAGCGTTGTATCATTGTATATTTTTTAGATTGTATCGTAGATATGAGCACATAATACGTACATGTATGTTAACGGAATCGAATTGAACGATGCACTGTGGCACAAAAATGCAACCATCTGTTTTAAAATGACACATTGCATTAAGAATTATACTATTCTTAACTTAACAAATATAATGTAAATCTTGATATAGCAATATGCATATGTATTCCATTGTAACAAATATGATTTTACAATAAAGACTGCTAAATATTTATGCTTACACGAAACTCTATTAAACTCTATTCTCTATTGTGATTGATGAAGGGAAAGTTGATCGATTTTCACGTATTACGGTTTTGAGTTTGTTTACCATGCATGCAAGAAATGATTAAACTAGTACCCTCTGCCTAGTATAGACTGTAATACAGTTCAACAGTCCTACCCACACGACCAATGTCCGTGTCAGATGCAATGATCATATGTAGAAAGGCGTCTGAATTCATCAGTCTAATTCTAACGTTTTAAAAACATGAGTCAGTTGGAGAAAAGGTGATCACATTCAGAGGTGTTCAGAGGAGAGGGGTGTTTGCATATACCAGTTTTACTGTACATTGGCACTGATTTTGAAAAATGGAACTTCTGATCTTCGTATTTGTTCTTGAAGACGATGCAAAACATCTGCCGGGTTCTCTAATCTGAATTCTTACCAATGTCAAAAAGATAAACAAAGGTCAGTTCCACAAAAATTGAAGCTGGGGTCAGTTTCCAAACGTTGAACCAGGTGACAGTTCCACAAAAGTCGAACCGGGGGACAGTTCCAGTTAAGTTGAAACTAGGGTAAGTTTCACAAAAGTCGAACCAGGGGACAGTTTAAGTAGAGTTGAACCAGGAGTGAGTGCCAGTTTAGTTGAACCAATGATCAGTTCCACAAAAAGTTGAACCAGGGGACTGTCCCAGTAAAGTTGAACCATGGTACGATTCCAGTTAAGTTGAGACCGGGGTCAGTTCCACAAAAGGTGAACCAAGGGAAAGTTCAAGTAAAGTTGAACC